AGAGTTGTAGCTTTTGGGTCTGATAAGGTCAGTGAAATCCCCTCAGGATTTATCCTGAGATCCTGTACCTCAGATTGTAGAACCTTCGTCAGTGTCAGCCATGTGGATGAGTTACGGCCATTGCTTGGCCAATGTGCTCTCTGTGAAAGCCTGAGAGAATGTCTTCTCTCCATGGGACTCTCCTTAGGCACACTCTACATCATTGATCACTTTCCTCTTTGGCCCCATAATCTCCTTGATCAGAAAATTTGGGACACTGCTGAGTTACATGATGTTACAGTACAAGTTCTCATATGTCCTGAATCTTAATTGACCTTGGAAGGTTAGGGCCAAAATGTTAGCTTTTCTTGCCGCCCTCCTTTTTCTCTAATTTTGGTCTGCAAACTTAGATTGTTAACCCTCCAGAAGACAAGTTTATTGTTATTACTGTACAACTTAGGCTGTTAAGCTTAACCTCACTATCTTTCTAAATATCAAACATCTAAGTCATAACATGGAACAGGTATTTTTCATCAAGTATTGATATGTTGAACTTTAAGTCCCTACAGAATATGATGAAAAAACATCTAAAAGTTAGAATATATTTTTAAAAATAGGCCTATTTTCTGACATTCTTCCACGTCTTTCCACACCTCTTCACATTCTCTAATAAGTTATTCTTCAGTATCTGTGACAACTTCAATATTGGTAGTATTATCTGTATCTAATCCTTGCTGATTTATGTGCTTTGTTATTTTCTCCGCCTTAAAAGAAAAACTAGATGATAAAGGTGTAGCAGTGACCAAAATAGTCAAAACTCTTTTTTTCTGACAGGAAGCCCTAATATACTACTGTTTGAGGAAGTAGTACATCCATTATAAAAAACACAATATCTATTCCTTCATGGAGAAGCAAGCCACAGCCTTCAGGTCACCTCAGCTCGCACCTATTCATTCATTCTTAAGCAACTGTTTTCAGTAACTGTCAAATGTCATACCCTGATCCAGGTACTCAAAGTGTAACAGTGAAGAACACAACAGGTTGAACCCCATGGAGTTGGCATGAATGTGTGGGAGGGGCTCTCTCAAAAACTGAGCTGAAAATGTCCTAGGAGATGAACAATACACAGATCACACACAAAAAATGTGGTCACGATAACATTATGATAGGGTGATTAGGCTTTCCAGGTTTATTTGATTCTTAGGAGACTGAAAGCAAAATATGAGGGGATCAACAGTGCCAGTACAGAATCACAAAGCGGAAGGGATGGGGCACAGGGTGACTTCTACAGGGAAAAAAGCAGTACAAATCGGCTAAGCAGGACAGTTGGGGACACCATATGCAGCATACATCTGCTCTCCTCAAAATCATAGAATCTCAAAAACGTTGTGCAAGTTTTTCCACACACCACAGTTTATATTATTCCATTCATATGAAAATATCCAGGAATCCTGAAGGCATGTCCATTTAGACAAAACTCAAATTAGTATTTCAGGGGCTGGATAAAGAGATGAGGAATTGGCTGGCTGCTTAATAAGTATAGGGTTACGGGAGGAAGTATAAAATATGTCTAAGATAGTGAATTGTGTACAACCTTGTAAAAGAACTAGATACACTGAAATGGCCACTTTAGAAAAGTCTATTTCATGCTAGTGTTTGACATTGATTCATTACGTCGAAGCCTTCAGCACACAGCACACATCACAAGGAGGTGACAAATGAAGACAGATTATTCTGGCAACTCAGTCAGCACTCAGACTGAGCTGTATCCTGGGACTCAGAACTTCACACAGTCATACAGCAAATTTGTCCCTTTTAATCCTGAACTTCTATATGGTCACCAAAAAAGGCTTGAGTTTTGTTAGTCTAATTCTGACTCCTGCACCTCTATTCACATAAGAAAGGAATACAACACAGAACCTTGGAAAAACGACAGCAGTGTGGACAGAATCCCATAAAGATAACTTTGCATGGAATTGTAGCCAGGAAGGGAAGAATGCTCATTCACAATAGGTTATCAGATGCAGGAAGTGAAGGACTGTTTTCTCCAGAGTTCAGACATTTTATGACCCTGCAATCCTTAATTCCTCAGCCTTGAGTCCATCGTGCGGGGCTGGAAGCAAATCTTGTATACTGGGGGTATTGTGCCAACACCAACTTCCTGAGGTGTGTAGTCAATGTCCTCAGGAGCCACTGGGCTGGTGATGGAGAAATTCTGGAGGATGGTGGTGAAGAAGAGGAACAACTCAGCACGGGCAATACCTTCTCCAAGACAAATGCGCTTTCCTGTGGGCACAGAGGATCACAGTATGGGCCAGGGTGATGTTCTCTGCCTTGTCATATCCCTAAGCTTAGACTCCTGTACTCATTGCACAGGTTTGAGCTCTAATCTGAAACTTGGGATGCGTTTGGAAGAGGTTCCCAGTCCCTCTGATACTAGGTTCAAATGTTTGGGAGGATGTTCAGTATTCAGTAGGAGTTAGGATATGCAGTATTTTGTACTTTTGGTTATTTTTTAAATTTCTGAATGATTCAGTGGTTCTCTATGAGATAAATACACATTTGTGTATGTGTGAGTACAAAAGTACGTGCACAAGAGTGACATAACATTTTTGGTGTTCTTCATTTCTTGTATGAGGAGATTATTAAGGATCTCATAGGACAATTATAAGTCTAGAGTTGCTATTCATAGGAACACAACCTAATACCTGGTTCATATTAAACATCTACACTGTACAATATGTTTATACTTTTTTCCTGATTGGTAAAGTGTTTCTGAGACTACATGCCTCTATGTGTCTGGTTGTCTGTTTCTGTCTGCTTTTATCTGTCTCTCTGTCTCTGTCTCTCTCTGTTTCTCTCTGTCTCTCTGTCTCTCTGTCTCTCTCTCT